AGGAATAGGATTTCCCTATTGGGGTATCGTCCAGACCAGGAATAGGATTTCCCTACATGGTTGTCAACCAGACACAAAGCAGACTGGGTACAGACCTGGAACAGACTGGGAACGGACTTGGGAACAGACTGGGAACGGACCTGGAACAGACGAGAAAAGGATTCCCTATGTGGACGGACTGGGAACGGACTTGGGAACAGACTGGGAACGGACCTGGCAACAGACTGGGAACAGTCTGGGAACGGACCTGGAACAGACTGGGGCATTAGGAGGCAGCAATCCCTACACGGTCAGGGGGCAGTAGGAGTAGGATTTCGTACAAGGTTTTTGCCAGCCCAACCGGGAGGCAGAATGAATAGGAATAGGAATAGGATTTCCCTACATGGTTGCCATCTTGAACAGACCAGGAACAGACTTGGAACAGACTAGGCCCAGAACCCCGATTGGGCGAGCAGATGTGTATGTCTGTGCTGTGACAGCTCTGTGTTCTTTCTGGATGTGATGTGTGTGTGAGTGTTTGTGTGTCACACGAAAGGCCAGAGGAGGACAGAACCAACCTGGCCCTCGCCAGAGCCCTGATTGCGCGAGCATATGCGTATGTCTCTGCTGTGAGGTCTCCTATATTCTTTCTGCTTCTGTTGTGTGTGTGTGTGTGTGTGTGTGTGTGAGACACGGAAGGCCAGAGGAGGACAGAACCAACCCGGCCCATGCCATAGTCCTGATTGCGAGAGCATATGCGTATAGTGAGGTCTCATGTATTCTTTCTGCTTCTGTTGTGAGTGCGTGTGTGTGTGTGTGTGTGTGTGTGTGGTCATATTCGCTATACACTCAAAAAAAGCATGACTGTACCAGACTGTTTCGTCGGACTTTCACCGACTCATCAGTGTGTGTGTGTGTGTGTGTGTGTGTGTGTGCGTGTGGCACGGGAGGTTGAAGGAGGACAAAACCAACCCGGGTCTTTGTCGACTCCTGGACATCCTGGACTATCTTCGCATACCTGTGCAGGTGAGCTGAGCACGCTTAATGCGTGTCACAGCAAACAACAATTGATGCAACACTTTCATCGGCCAATTGGCGAAAGACTTTCATCGGCCAATTGGCGAAAGACTTTCATCGGCCAATTGGCGAAAGACTTTCATCGGCGAACAACTGCACCCTTGGAACCGCCACAGTTGGAACCGCCACAGTCAGTCATAAACAAGGAAGCGGCAGTAACTGCTATTTCTTCTAAACCTCTTGTTGCTATTTCTATACGAGTTTTGTCGACCTGCACGTCCATTCATTTACGTGTGTGACTGCACACTGGTCTGCATCTGGTGACGGGCGTCCGCACACGGCTTGCAATGCATCTGTAAACAAACCGGTTTCGCGGTGAGGGCATGTGTGTGCATGCGCGGATGCATGCACTAGCTATCGGTCATGAACGCGCAGATGGACGAACCGAGGACCTCACATCTCTGCGTATTGGTACTGATCAGCGATCGCGAGGTGGGCGTCTTTGGCACAACTTGTCACTCCTGTGCCATACGCACCGCAGCGCAGCGAAGAACTGTAGTGCGAAGAAGATAACAAGACAGACAGCACCCGCAAAGGTGTTGAAGCTGGATGTGCTGCTACTCCTTGGCGCTGCGGTCTGGAGTTGACAGAGATGCGTGCCGTTTTCTCAGTGGCTTTAGGAAATAAAACGACGACAAATTCCGCAGAAGAGCCGGGGGCTGTACATTCATCACATCAACGTCGGATGTCGATGTTGAGACGTCATCGATGGAGAACGGAATCCTGCATGAGACGATAGCCACACCAGATGTTACAAGTTACAGCCATGCAACATCACCATACAAAGTCGCACTTTCGCATTTATTCTAAACATTTATTTATTTCCAACTTTGAAGTTCAAAGTTCAAACATATATATGACGATATATATTATATACTATATAGACAGGTATACATATATGTAGTATATAGTATATAGTATATACTATTATATGATATAATAGTGTAATTATATGTGTGTGTCACATTGACTCACATACATAAATTTATTATTATTATTATTATTATTGTTTTATTATTATTTTAATTTTTCATTATTATTTTATTTTCTTATTACTTTTATTTTTATTTTTAAACAAAGCTGTCTTCTCCTCATTGCGGGACAATATATATTGTCACATCACTACAAACTAAAAGAGCGCACTTCGCGGAACAAAGAATAAAAGCAAAAAACGGGCACAGTGATAACATGCAAAAAGAAAAAGAAAAAGAAAAAACAAGGGCAGATTGAAACCATTAAATTTCTCATTCTTCTTTGAACTCCACCTCCACTGTGCCTCTCACGTGCAAGGCTCGCCACGTTGATGAAGTTGAGCGCGAGCTGCCCCC